CAGCCTCTGGTGAAGACCTGCCTCGTGAAAAATGGCCTCTAGGTGTAGTGGACACTTGTGAGGCGAGCCCATATGGCTTAGTAAGAAAAGCTGCACGTTAGAACGACGGGCTGCGTTCTTAAGAGAGATACAAGAAAGATGCGTTTACTGGTGGGACGCAATTAGGCTTGTACTCGAAGTCGGGTTGGGGCAGGGGTAGAGTCAAACCATTCGTGTCAGTGGCTGATGGGTACCTTAGCATGAAGCTTAGCGTAGGTAGAATGCAAGATCCTGGGCGTCCGCTGAATCAGCACGGAGAAGTTAGCGGGCGGTGTATCTTCTATTACGCTGACAATGAAATTCCCTTCGTTTATTTTGTCTCCGTTTGTAGCCCCCGCCCCTGTTTTGTGTTCGGTGTCTATATATGAACTGACGTTTGTTTGTCCTTACCATTTGGCCTCGTTTTCATCTGGCCATTTGTAGCCAACTTTGCACGTGTGACTGTCGCACGCGGGAGCCTGTTTGCTCCCTTGGTTTGTGCTGTGGACCGTTTGTTTTGGACGCGTATCTACTGTCGAGGTTTGTATAATCTGCGAACTTGTCTCACACTAATAGTGCCGTATAGAAACCAGGCTCCGACTTTGTTTACCAACCGTTGGTTCCGGTATTACGTGTCACTCGAAGATACCGCTCGCCCGTTACATTGACAATGAAGAAGACTGTGATGGACAACCCTTGGAGTAGCCGCTGTCAGCCTCTATCATGTTATTGTTCCCTGCCAAAAGCTTACATCATTCTCCCACGCAAACGCTGCCCACTGCGGAAGCCGTTCTGCTGGGGGTAATAGTATAGTTCTGCGTTTATATGACGAATTTGCCGTAAACACACATTGGAACTTTCCCCTGATCTGCTGTGAACAGCCCTTTCACATACCGGATTACCAGCTCTCTCTAGTGGCTCGTGCTGTCGAATCAACTCTAACTGACAGAAACGAAACCAAAGTCATCTTTTGGTCACTACTATGTCACATTATACGCGGATGTGTATACACCAAATCCATATGATTGTTTGCTCCAAAGCTCACTGCCCACTCACGCACAACATCGCGGTACGCCTCCACATGACATGGTAGCCTACACCAACGCTCAGTCGCCGTTTGGCCATAGCGCACTCACCCTGAATATCAGCATTCCGTCCCCACTGCCTCATTGGCAACTGTCATTTCACTGCCTCCTCCGCGACCTGCCTACCAGCGTCTGTTTGCTGTCTGCTTATTCGAATTGACTGGGCTGACTTTACTGGCCTTGCTCCCCCTGACCGGAAAACCTGGTACCTGGAGTACTTTATCATTACACAAACCGCACTAATGTCTGCTTGGATGGTTTTCCAGCTTGCAGACCTGGTATCATGTACGAATGATGAAAACCTCGTGTGGTGGATGGGTACGCCCTTCAGGGAGGGTCTCTCTGTTACGTTGCACCATGGTGCGTTTTTATATTCACCACCCTTCCAGTAGCACGGGTGCATCGCCCATCGCCAGTGGTTCTGAGCCTGGTCTTTAAATTCGGGAAATAAGTTAAAAGAGAGCACTGCTGTCTTCTGATTGTCGCTGCTGGTGTGTACTAATGCATATTATCCCGTTTTATATCCCCACAAATTCACCATGTTTTGCGAATCTCCTCCCATCCCATCATCTTCCCAATCTTTGAACTTCGGAAGTACCCGTTTTGGACGACCTGGCTAGCTGATACCCACTCCACCTGGCCTATGATCTACAACTCCGGGATCGCCAAGCGGACGACAAATAACCCTACAATCCCATATCGGCCTCGTTCCACATTGTCCCCCTGACCAGGCTGAAATGAATACCGCTGCCCAAAGAAATACACACCCCAGCCGAATAATCTCGAATGTGACGTCCATGACGGGGTTGTCCAAAAACTGAAGCATGTCAGGCCAATGATGGCACGGCACTGTTATACTCAGTTTGATAGCACACCCGCAACTGTTCCACTCCTCCTCCTAAACGAGCCCACTTGCCTATGTGATTCATTGACCCCAACCACCACCACGACGTTCATTCCAACCTGTTGGACTTCTCGTTCGAATCCAATCACCTTTGTGTCCTCATCCAACCTAACCCCAGCACTTAATTTTCCTACAGCAGTACAACCAGTGAGTCTGCTTGTTCTCAGATTACACCATATTCTTGAGACTAAAATTGCCATGTTCTCCAAATCCGAATTTTTGCATCTCCACCTCCACTTTATCTCGTTGTGACTCCGGCCATTTACCCAACCGCCCAAGGTCACTCGTGGCCAGCAGTGGTTTTCGAGTTTTAGTTCATGTCAGCCGACTGAGTCTTTGAGTTAGTCGGACCTCATGCCCATTGTCCCCTACGAGTTGCGAAATACATTATCATTATTTCATCGAATACTCCTCACTGTTCATAACTGTCTCCGTTTCGCGGAATCCTCACTAGCCGGAAATCCCCCAGTCACATGCCCCATTCTGACTGTAAACGCATGATCATGCCCGAAGGTATGCCACACACAAGTTGGGAAATAAACATTATTATTAATAATAATGGCCTCTCGGTTGAGTTATTTTGCAACGCCACAAACAACAACGACAAAAAAACTGGCCTTTTGCCTTTCCAAAAGTGTTAAAAAAACAATATACCTAGAATAGCCGGAAAAAACTCTGCAACGCCCATGGCTTGCGTGGACGTGCGTAGCTGTAGCTCCCTTCGTCAGTATCGGGGCTACACCGCACCAAAA